ATGGAATGCTATTCCAGAATCTGTCTTAAACAATTTAGTAAACTCGATGCGACGCCGTTGCGAGTTAGTTATTGAAAACAACGGTGAGCGAATTAATTTTTAGCTTTAATTAAACTTATTTGGTACTTTCTGGCTTTCAAATGATGTATCGATTATTAAATTTGGTACGGTCTCGATGGATATATAATAAATTTACTACAGTTAAGTTTTTTTGTCACACACTGTATATTAATATTGGCCGCATGACACAATCAAATTAAACAATAATTTTGTGGATTGGAAAATAAACATTTAAATTTATTTCGATATTTGTTGCGACCGACATTAATTTTAACTGAATTCATTTTTTGAAATAATTATTAGAAGAATTTTGCAAATTTGGTTATAAAATCAATTATTTGCATTTTCAAAATGTCCTGACAAGACTGCAGGAATTTGTGACACTGATATTTACGATCAGAAAATATCGCCAAATATTTTGATGAGATTCTGCTAAATGCCCCCCCCCCCCCCCCCGAAATCTTCGTGGACACATCTTCACAATTATGTGACGAGCTGCTAAATTTTTTTGACGACATTGTTTTACGATATTATACAGACCTCGCAGTAACGTCGTAGCATTATATACAGTATAAACAGATCGCATTCACCTCGCTTTGCTAAAAACATTACTTGATTTTCACGGATAAGAGTGGAACTATCTTGTTGTACCACATGCACATCAGGTAATAATACATCGACAGTCTGTAAATGCATTTACTGTAATGCCGAATGCGATAAATGTATCAAATAACATTGAGCGAAACGCGATCAATAATTCAACTATGATTTCGAAGATAACCAAGTAAGAAATTAAACCGCTGAATAGTTTTATTTGTTTGTGAACACCTTTTAATTATTACCAACTTGTAATCTTTTTAAAAAAATGAAGATTCCGTGATTAGTACATATATGTACGTGTTATGTATGTAAAGTGAGGGCAAAATGTGAAATTCGAGTCTTACTCTATTGGCCTGCCGCTAGAGTTTTCTCATATAATTTGATATACAGCTTGTTACTGCAACAAAACATGTCATTTACTTGTGTACCAACTGTCATCTCAGTTTCGTTGTTACTAGCAGCTATATTACTATCGCTGTGTCGAGGAATCTCTATCTCGCAAAGAGCGTCTTAACAGATTCTTTACAGTTAGCAAAGAGATATTTATTCATAACTAATAACTTGCCTACTATTGTACTGTAATATTGAGGATACAAGCGGTAAACGCAGAATCCGAAATAATAATGAGAAGAGTGATACGTGGATTGTAGCTGGGTCAGGGCTCCGACTTTAAGCGATTGAATGCTGGAGTTAATCCTCACCAACTATCGTGCCAGCTAACACGGGGAACATGTAAAATGTACTGCTTGTTTATGCTGTATTTGCTTTACGTCAGTCAGTTTTTTCCCGGAAAAGCATGTTATACTATTGTCTAAATCTATCAACTTGGAAATTTAAAATGGCTTTTTTTTGTACAATGCACGTCAAACATGTCATCAAGATTCGTTCAACAATATTTTGTGACAAACGTTAGCATCTATAATCTAACAATTTTAAAACTGGGATGATTATTATTGTTGTTATTATTATTATACACTGATTACTTGCAGATTTTCATCGTAACGCTTTTGTGTGTATTCCAACCAAAAGTTTAATATAAATGCGCTTTTCAGATACACGTTTCCAAATAAAAAAGGATTTCAGACAACTAGTACTAGTACATATAGTATGTTGGGGCCTTTTTAGCGAATCCGTAGCTTATCAATGGTTGTATAACTTGCGTTATTAACCGTAAGTTAAAAGCTGAAATAACAATTTTCTTAACGTTCGGAAAGCTGGAGACGCTGCGATAATACGTGTAATTATAACAATGGGAAATATCGCGCAAACAAGCTCTGCAAGTTAACGTTTAATATTTCATTGGGCACATGCTATCCAAATCTTTATTCCGCAGATTTAGATACCAAAATTAATTTACGCAATAAAAATACAAAGAAAGGCGTTGATCGCATTGATTGTCGACAGAAAACGACTATATCTATAGCGAACATCAGATATACGCTCTAGTTATAGATCTATAAGAACATCTACTCTAACTGTGTACAATTAAATTAAATAAGACGCGCCTAGCTGAACTTTAAGGGCATCTAGCAGAAAATAATATTGATGCTGGATGCATATTCAGTAACACTGCGACATTATGGTCCTTTAATAAGGCCATTGACGTAGTCCTTAGGTTTGTCAAGAGGCTTTGTACCATCTTCAAGTACGGCACCATCATCGAGTTGACCCTTACCAGATATAAAGTCGCCCAAAAGTGAATTAACAACAGGAGGTTTCTTGTTCTCCTCTTTCTTCTTCTTCTCTTCCTCTGCCTTTTTCTCTTCCGCTGCCTTTTTCTCTTCCGCTGCCTTTTTCTCTTCCGCTGCCTTTTTCTCTTCCGCTGCCTTTTTCTCTTCATCGCCATTAGTTATATTAGGCTTGGGATCGGGTTTCGGAACATCAGGTGGATTATTATCAGGTGGATTATTATCAGGTGTATTGGGTTTAGGGTTAGGATCGGGGGTATCTGGTTTAGGGGTATCTGGTTTAGGGGTATCGGGTTTAGGGGGGGGGAGGAGGAGGAGGAGGAGGAGGAGGAGGAGGGGCAGGTTTAGGGTCAGGAGCAGGAGCGCCATCAGCAAATTCCCATGATATCCGGACACGTCCAGCACTTGGGTCTGCAATATGGTTAAAGGCAGCTGGGGAGAGATCCAAGTCACCAGGTTGACATTCTGGACATTCATCAACTACAGTAACAGTTACGCTTCCATTTGGACCTTTAATATTGATGCGAGAACCACATATAGGATTCTCGTTAGGGTTATCACCGCCACCAAATTGCGGTTTGTTCTAAATCACAAAAGATACTTGTTAGAGACATGTCAATTCACTACTATTTGAGTTTAATAAATAACAGGTGCAATCATTATGTAGACTAATTCAAAGCTCGGCATATGACTATACATGCTGATATGTGTATTATGTGATAAAGTAATCCAGCAACTTACCAAGGCGCAAATTAAATCGTCGTTTGTATTGGTTCCTCCACAAGCCCCGAGTCCAACACTAAAGAAAGTGGCGTCGCCACTGAAACCCCTGCGCTGTATTGGAGCAGCTTTAACTGAATTAATAACAAGAATTGCTGTTGCCAACAGAGTAAATAGCCGTCGAGCCATTTTAATCTTGTTTTATTTGTAACGTTTTGAAGTTTAAACAGAGGATTTATCCAGTCTATGGATATTCCAATCGAATAGTAATGAAAGGAAGGAAATAGGGTTTCGGGAATAGGGAGCAAAACGTAAAAGAATGAATGATAATGGGGGCGGGTCGGGAGAAGGTAGTAACACTTCCCTCAGGAAAAGGAAAATGAGAATTCAAAGGATTGAAATTAAAAACCGTATGCTAAGGAAACCATGGCTTTTATTGAATTCTAGTTGTTGAGTTGAGACATTTAGTGTAACGCAGACGTTGTGTCTTTAATACAATCGACTGAATGAAAGAAAAGTAAGAAACTGTTGATATTGGTCAACGAAGAAATTGATTATTTCTTAAAAGGGAAATAACGAATTAAGTTTAAAAGTAGTGAGATGTACTGTGATACATGTCATCCAACATTGTAACACATAGCGATTGGCCTAATTTTTGGAATATGCTAGGACCATTCGCATTTTGTAATTTAATATTATGCTACGTTACGCTATGCACCTATTGTTAATCCTTGTCATCCTGCCGAGCTTTCGAGGTTATTGTAAAGTAATTCTTGTGAGAAATTTCTTGAGCAATGATACCACGCATGAGATTGACCAATGGCGAAGCTTGGAAGCTTCCTTGGAAACTATCGTCCCCCAAGAATTTCCTAATTGGCGCTCTTTATATTAGGTGATGTTATACTGGATAGAACATGCAATATTTCGCTCCATATACAAGAACACTTTGGAAATTATTGTGCAGGGCAATTTGCATGGTCTGGGGATTCAGAGGGGGTTTGGAGCGTTTCCTGGTAATTTAGTTTATTGGGTCCAAAAAATGTTGATGTTCTCTCGATTAATATTAATCGGACGTCTGAAAAAATGAAGGTCAAGGCTCGTTGATCGTAACTTTTGCTGCACGTCATTATCGCATATTTCATGTGATTGAATTGGCAAATTAAAATGTGTTATGACCAAAATAAAAGCTCATACCATCAATAGTTAAGTAGTGTTTGTAATTTGTGTAAAATAAACAAACACAAGTTGGACATATCGATTCCAATTATGCGAGAATAAATTGTGTTCCGATTTTCCATGGGAGATATAAGTATAACTAATATAGAATATCCCGTATGTCAGTGACTGTGAAGGTTTTAAACTTATTCATGCATACGAAAAACGCCAATGCATGCATGATAAATAAACGGAAATTTTCATTGACTAATGAATAAAATTAGAGGTCCATAATAAATTATTTCGATTGAGTTTAGAACAACGACGGTTCTATCGACAAATATCAATGTGAAATTGATAACAATCGATTGCGGAATGTCGCATGGGATAATTATGCAGTAAATAGCAATTCGAGGCTTACTCCCAATAACACAACACGTCTTGATTTTATTTTGAACAACAACAACGACAACACAATACTTGTCTTATGAGCATGATGCCAAGTGATTATGGTTTTGAAGATTTTTCTTCCACCAATTCTTGTCATACATTGCATCATACTATATTATATCCGTGATTCAGTGAAGTTTTCAAAGACCTAACATTAAAAAAGTGTTTGCATTATGTCGGGGATTCATGTATCGAATTTATGTAATCCTAGCAAATATTCTGCTTTCAGTGGTTTCATTCTGAATAGATATTTTTGCCCTGATTATTAAAGTCTAGAGTTGCAATAATAGCGACCAGGCCACATGTAACAGTAATGTAGTTAGATTGGTGCCGTATATTTTGTTTATCGGCTACACCAGCAAACAATAAATATAACTGCCAGATAGCGATAACGACGATGGATCAGACGATCGCTGCCAAAACAACAACAGTAATAAATTTCGTAAAACCTGTTCCAATATGTTACATTTGTGTAAACTTGGAATTTCTTCGTGTTATACCGTTCCTAACTAAGATAATGTTGGTAGTTATGCGAAAATATCATGCTTAGATTATGTTGCGTTATATCAATCAATATGGCAGACATTCGAATTATTAGCCATTGTTTCCGACAGCATTCAAATAGTCTCGTACAAGAAGGGATAGAATTTGTTTGTCTGTTTGTCCAGCAAAATGTGACAAGAGATGTTTGGAGGTTTATGAAACAAACATTTGAGTAGTTGCGGGAAAACGTTGCATTTAATGGCTTATAATACGCGCCATTTAGATTATAATCATCACTATTTGCAAAAGTTTTTTGACAGTCGGTCAACTTGCAGAAAGCCCTCGACTCTTGTCTATTATTTAAATTATAATGCTTGTCTAACAGTTTTTTCAACCTTTGTGGACCAAGAACGGCACTGTTTGTATATTTTTACATGAATTACGCACAGAATATGTGTGTAAAGCCGCATAATGAATTTAATCCCAAGTTTCCTGGTAAAACAAATTGCTAGGTCTGCAAAAAAGTGGCAATGAAAAAGATACTAAATACACATAATAAAGAAGAAATTAATTCGATTGATACTATAATAATAATCGTACTAAATTGTGCCTATTACTATTACTATTACTATACAATGGTATTACAGAATACGTAAATTACAATCTAAACCTGAAAATCATTTCAGTTGCGATGTCCTATAAGGTATTTTTATTTACTTTCTTGATTTTTTTTCACTTTGGTGAAATATTTTGACAAGGTTTTAACATCTTTCTACCGCGCGCAGCTAGATTGGTTTAGCCACTAATATTAGTTTCGATAACCTGATGCTCTTGCTTTTTTAACTCCCTTAACACTGGTTAAGCTTTCTAGGACAATTGAACGATACGTCTATATTATATGCTCACCACTATTCTCTCTTAGGGACGAAGCAGAACTACAGGTGCGAGGAAGACATGTATATGGAAACATAAGCGACTAACTTTTTGATTAATATCACTAAATTAAGTACAAATTGAACATTGAGCGAAGTTGCTAGTAATCTAATGAATTATTATGAACTATTATCCATACCCTTCTTGCCGTATAAATATTTCTCGGATGGATCGTAACATACCAACAGTAGGCATTACTACACAATTCCGGCACTTGTACATCTCGGACCCTCTTATTTTTTGAACGCTCCCACACCAGCTGCAAGTTTAGGCCTCGTTTTGGATAATAACACGGATAGTGGCACCAACAGAGCATTTTGCGAACGGTTTTTCGTGTTATCTTTCTTGTTTTTCGATTTACCATGTTCGACATCTCAAAAGGAGGGATGACAATGGCATCGAATTCGCGAGTAAAAAATGCGACACTCTTTTTATGAACTTTGCCTTATCAAGTCGCAAGGCCTGCTGCTGTTGTCCTGATCTTGCGCTTTTTTCCTTGTTTGGGATTCTCGTTGGGCGACTCTTCTTCATTGCTTGATTGCAAGGATATTTTGGGAAAGTTCGTGCTCGTCGGAGGTCGCTTCGTTGACGAAAACCATGAATTTTGTAGTATTGGGGGGGGGTTGCGGCAGAGTTGGTCACAATGGGTAACCACAATTTCTGAGACCATGCCGCGACTTTTCCGTTCCAATAAGGTCTTAAGTTCGTAGGTTGCGGAGCTGAGGACCTCCTTTTGCTTGAACCCTTTTTTGGTGGTTAGCATTGAGGGGAGAGATTATGTGTTTACGATTTTGATTTTCAAATGAGCAAAATATTGCAATGGTTAAGGATAATGTCTTTAAATATGTTTATGGCGCATGAAACATGCAATCTCATATGGAGCCTGTGCTTGCGTTGAATGAAGCTATTGTCTACGAAACGGTTCTGAAGCTTTGACTACGAGCATACAACTCTCGGCAATATTACGCCGACCATAAAGGCTCCAAAGATACAGTGCGCGAAAAGGTTTTTGGAATAAAATGCATAAACTTTATTTCCTTCCAAAATACGCGTCATGTGTACTCAAAGTTTGATTTGCATATAAAAATTTTCTTTTGACAGCCGTTAAAAGGCCAAAAGCATAAGTCTTGATTGAGTCCGTTTATTTGTTCAATTCTTTTAATTCACGACCTTTATTTGACAATAATAAGTACACGCGCCCTGATCCAAATAAATAGATGCTTTAATCTTGGGAACTACTACTGTCTTTAATATGCTGTCAAAGAAACTTGACGTATATTTTTCTGATGTTGAACGGCTCTATTATATTGCGCATGTACTCCTATTGCTTTACTTGTCAAAAGGATTTGACGAGGAATGTTTGAACATAAAGTAAGAGCTTTGTTATACTTACAAAACCTACTAATAGCATCCTTCCATAACTAGTTAACAAAATGTGAAAAATTGTGAAAAACGCAAAAAGAATCGTTTGTAACACCTGAATTTTCAGGAAATATGTATTTACTGTCTGAATTTCTCGAAATAGTGCGAGTAACACTGACCATCACTTCATCATACTTCTCCAGTTATTATCGTTGTGCCGTCTGCTTGTGAGGATAACTGACTTAAATACGTTTCGTCAATATTTCATTCTCGTGCTTCTACAGGGCCTCAAACTCAGTTGTGTTCAAATACGGTCGTTAAAGTTGAGCGTGTCGCTCGATTGACTGATGTACGATCGCCACGACTAGTTCTGCATGCAATTGTGGCCGTATTTAATTGTGAATCAGGACTACTCAAGCTGTATCTCTGATGTGTTCGATCAATAGATTTCTTTACAGTTACTTGATTGCTTACGCTAGGCTTTTGTCGAGTTTTTCGATCGACGGTTGTGCTTAATCGACTGAGCGCTCTAGTTGATAGCGTATTGTTGTCGACCAAACCAGTTATGTAGTATCTCGGATAGACAATCATAATCATCAACACCCAAAGTAAGAAGACACCAAAGTTGAATACTGCCATTAGCAAATCTGGCCAGAATATCATCGTGGCAAAGTGTGATTCCCTTATAAACATGTTCAGACATAATAAAATCATGCTTACACACAGCGCTGCGATACCGATCATAAGATATTTGTTCATTTCGATAAAATACGTGAGTTGAAATATCGTTTCGCGTATGGTTGGATTCTCGCGTACGACAGCGAATAGCCGTCGCATTTTCCTGTCATTACGCAACTGAATGTGGTGAGAGATTGATTGGTTAGTGACCCAATAGTAAACGCAATATCAAATAGTTGTGAAACTTACCGCAATCATGAATAAGACTGTTAATTGAATGGAGAAGACAAACTCGGGGACTGTCTAGGAAACAATCAAAATCGGTTTAATAATTACAAAACATGTAAATGCCCCAACTGCGTTAATGGCTAGTTGTTGATAGTGAAGGTTACCAATTGAAAACACAAACCTCAGACAAGTACGTGGGATTGTAACCTTTCGATATCAAGAGTGATGCAGGTAGTATAACCGCAGACAACACAACCCAGACAAAATAAATTTTAAGCTCTAAAGATCCAACAAACGGTGCATTTCCCCATTGACTGGCCAAGTGACTCCAAAATGCTTGCACTAAATATAGTGACCCTGTTTGTGCAGAGAAACAGAAACATAACAAAAACTGCATCACTGTCCGAATTCTCTGATGGGTCTCGGACCACATATCAGCTGGTCTTTCTACTACTTTGTAGTCTCCATTAGCGCTTGATGAGACATTGTCTGTGGGTATTGGTTTCCATTCAAGACCGTCAAACTTGATCGCGATGTAAGCTAATTAAATGCAAAGAGAAGTCAGAAAAATGTAAATGTAAGACTTTTGAAACAGTAAATAAAACATCTAAGACTTACATTCGTCATACCTCAGTATAACAAACGATACGTCATATACCTGCAATTTACAACAAATATCGCCTGTTATCAAAATAGTAATAAACCGCTATGTCGAGTAATATGATATATATATAATCATATATTTATACTTACTATTTGTAAAGGCAAAGTAATGAGGATAAAGCAGGCAATCATAGACTTTAATTCCAGTCTTTTTAAATGATGTAATCGTAAACTTTCGAATCTGTCCGTAGCCCAGATGCGTTGTATGAACCATGCCCAAATCCATATCTCTGCTATCGCCCGTTCTATGTTAATCAATGAATATCGTCCGTGAATTGAATACAAAAGATGAAAGAAAGAAGAAAGCACAGTTCTCAAGTTCTCGTCTTTAAACGAGCACACAAGATACTTTGTTACTTACCAATGTACGTCATGTCATTACCCATCTGACCTTGTTGTTTCTTGCGCTAATTCAATGTGTTTGTATCTGATTTAACCTATTAATAAATGGTTTTACAGTCTACATAAACACCTGCTTTGTTCTTATCGCCGTTTAAAATTTAGAAATAGACGTTCATGGCACTCGTTGAAATTTGATGCAATAAAGAGGGAAAAAATAGACAAAGCTGGACAGGCAGTTCTTTATCTCCCAATTTGTACCTTTTTCGACTAGTCATGAACGGTTCAAACCATTCATTCTGTCATTTCAATTCCTAATACGGATCTGAATTGAAGTTATAGCATGCCATGGACAGTGAGTTCAGAAAATGGCAATAACGTGGAAATGAAGCTTATTCGCAATTATTAGTATTAGTATTAGCAAAAGCGTAAATATCGTCGACCCCATTATGGTTTTTTCCCCATCCTCGATAGCGTACCGAGACATTTTTGGAAGATCGTTTCCGATGTCACATGGTTTGGTTTCACCTTGGGTATGGGATCGTTATACTGTATCACGTTTTAATATATTGTGCAGAAATAACACCCTCCACATTTTTTTATCGGATTGCGCCGTATTTGCGTCGCATATGTATACTCTTAAAGTCGTGGCTGAGGATGGTGTACGAGTCTCTACTTGTGCATCGAACGTCTATGCTATAGTTATTCTAACTTTATTTCTCACTTATGCTTCTGTGATACCTGCCGATTATTTGCATATTTAAAACGCTTATGCACATGTGACCCCCTCACCTCACCCCGCAGAGATATCTCGATTATAATTACATTTCTCGAGTGTCATTATTATTATCAGGACTGCAAAGGGGTTAGGTTGGCTTAAATACACAGAGAAGCCTCCCTCGTTCATTCGTAACTAATGAAATTGTTTGTTTGTTTCCATTCTGTTGCGCTATCTAAAACTTATTCAGTCTCTGTCTACCCCAATACGTTTTACATTGATACACATGATTATTCACGCATCCCGAAGAATGATGCACATGTCAGAACAAATCAACGATCCATAACGTAATTTAGTATAATAGTTGTTTCTTCGATCATTAAATAAAAAGTAGGTTGGCCTATATCGGATAATGCATTGTAATAGAAGTAACAACATGTGTCATATATTATGGATGTCTGGTATCAGCTGTAAAAGTGGCTTATTGTTTGTTGATTGTTTTCTCAAAGTTTATTTTTGGTATTTGGTTTCTTTTGTTCGTATTTACGTCATTTCGCATAATGTCGGATAAAAAGTTTCAAAATTAATAAACGCAATTATGGAGAGAGATACACTATATGACCATCTTAATTGTTTTACCTAGTTGGAGTCGTGCACTCGTTGTCACAATATAAATAGATCAAATCAACAGTAATCCCGATCGCATTATCTTCTTGTCCAATATAATTGCCTAATTCAGGGTTAAACTTGGGGAAAAGGGAAAGATATTCATCATATCTTTAATGCGTAGATGCATATTATTATCTCAATTTAGCAAAGATCCGTCACGTCTGGAAGTCAATTGTCTCGTTACGTCTTCAAACATACCTCTCAGGTTAACGTATTGATTGACGCGACTGAGAGACCATCCAACATCTAATTTTCAACATGGTTTTTGCCGAAATGATTGGAGTTTATTCAATCACAAAAGTTTCCAAATGGGGCAGTGGATACAGCATGATCCTACATAATTTTGCTTCCAGGTTCGAGAAGACGAGTAAATCAAACGATGCACGCGACATGTGACAAGTAAATGTGGTACTGCTTTTCCCCCTCTCCTGTGTTCCACCAACAAATGTTGCATGCAAGACAGGGTGAAAGTGAGTTAGTGCAAGGGGGGCCTTAGTTTCCTCTATCTTATCAGCTTATTCCGATAGTTTTCTTGTGGGTAGACTGATCTCTCTGACTGGCTATATGGCTTGCATGCATGTTCGTGCGGACGGCGTAGTAGATAACGAATTAGGAAAATTAGGAAGAAGTTAAAAGTATAGGCTACGGATACATGGTGATAGATACATGGTGATAGATACATGGTGAGTGATAGATACATGGCGATATACAATGGTGTATATATTGTTGTTGTAAAGAATATTAAGGAGTATAAAAAAACTCTACTTTGAAACATATTTGGTGATTTCCATTAAGCCATGTCAGCCCTATAGACAGATCTAGCTCGATGTATCTGTTCGAAAAGAGACGCCCGCATAAATAGTTCTCTTGAGCACGTGCATCTTCATCAACGCATTAAAATATGTAATGTCTTTCTATGTATTCATTGATGCGGCTCGGTGTTTCGGGACCAATCACCGTGTGTGCATTGGCCAAGAATCGGGTAAAGTGACATCATAGTCTGAAATAAATTGGCTATGATAAATAGTATTATAATAAATAACAATCTATTTATTGTTATTAAGTATTTATGTAACAGACGCCATCCGTTTAATCATTATTATTCTAATTATTAGTATTTGTTGTACTCACTATTCGCTCTCCCAATGTCGTATTGTGTCAAAGTTCGCAACAAGCTCATAAACCCAACCCTGACACAATTCCCCCATCGGCTTTTGTTCCCCCTCGGTGACACTTTTCATAGTGCACAACAACATTCCTTACGTTATTTTTTACGACTTACGCATGGTCCTTGTGCTGGATTAGATTGTCTTGATTAACAATAAATTGACAATTCCCGAAACATAACTTTGTGAATAAATTGTTGCCATCTGATAGACAGTCGACTTTCTTTTACTCGGACAATACCAATTCCCCATGTCGATAACGATACTTCCCCACCGCCTCCGATTACTCTCTATTCCCAAAGCTTCTCTTCGTCAATTTACCCAATCACTCATTCGTAACATTATCTTTCCCCCTGATGATCAATCCATATTCTCTATCACAGAGACAGCATTTGAAATCTCTATTGTCGCAGATGCGGAAACAATAGAGAGAGACTTTGTGAGATTCAGAGAAGGAACCAATATTGAGATTATGGATGATTTGTTTAGGGCCTTGGTGCTTGGTGATGAGGGTCTGGGTATGTTTAATGAATGTGGGGCAATTGGGTCTATATGAATGTAACAGACAGTATCGGTAATAGCCGTTGCAATTCTAAAGACACATACATTACTAATAATTTATTCTAACCACATTTTCTAGTAGACAATTCGGGAAAAAGAATAAACGATATCTCATATTTCCTTTCTAGAGTCGGTGTGTCTGTCTTCTATCTTTCTACTTACCAAGAGGATATTGCCTTGGTAAGTCCATCCTCCTATATTACTTTCCTCTGATTTTGATCATGATCAACAATGTCATCATCGTATAAACAATGCGTCATAATCCGATAACTTACACAAAGGCAGGCAGTAGCACAGTAATTAATAACATATTCGCTTGTATTCTTAATTTAGGTAAAGGAAAAACGTCTTCCGCTAGTTGTGCAAACCCTCTGCCCGACATTCACATTCACCAGTGAGTCGCCTTCATTCTCATCAGTACCTTTGACACCCACTGACCGAAACGCACCAAGGGAGATGTCCTTTGCAGTACCTTGGACAGCTGAACGGCCTTTTGATTCGCCAGTGATTATGGTAGGCGATAGTTCGCATATGCATTCGGACAACCCCTTTTTTTCTGGAATGATAGTTGAATTTGAAGATCAGGGAACAATGGGAAAGCCAAACGATGAAGAAATTGCGGCTGAGGTTAGACGACAATGTACCAAACGTGTCATTCCACATCGACTGAAAATGGTTGGGTTGAACAGGCAAGGGCATGAGAATGTTGAATGTTGGATATGGGATTGTTGTTCCCTGTAGAAGATGCGTGTTGGCTGACATGTGTCGTACTAAGTTGTGTTCGAAATTTGTAGGGAGTACATCGAAAGCGTGAGAACAATTCTCTTGAAGGTCATATTCTTTCCTGATTTACTTCAGAATCAAGTGAGGTAAAAAAGAAAAAGAAAAAGAAAAAGGAACTTATTTTTATGGCACCGATTATTTGTTTATTTATTTGTCATTGTTAAAACCATTATTATTATTCTATCGTTTATTACCATATCAAACCAGCGGATCAGATTCCCGGTTTTTTTCCTATACAGCTACCTCGGAAGGTATAACCATCGTCACTGATGAGGCTGTGCTCGAAGAATTCCCTGAACACACATTGAACATGAGCAGCGTTCCTATTCTGCTCAAATGTATCTATATCGACATATCTCGCTTTGGACTGTAAGTTTTGTAATTTAGTATTCCGGATTTTAATCTTTGATGGGCTTAGATGATTGATTTTCATTGTATAGGGACAAATACGGTGTTCTGTACTCAATATCTAATCCTTTGATCTCGAACGGAATAAACTTACTATATTTGAGTACGTTGAAGACTGCAAACGTTCTGGTAAGTGTGCGATATGCAGGAAACCTGATTTGAAATTGATATCAACATAATGAGATTCTGCAAAACTGGTTTATGTAATACAATTTCTATATCCCTGTTTAGGTGCAAGATTGCGATCTTGACAAAAGTTTCAGAATCCTTGCGCAAACCGGTTCGCTCGAAGACAGCATGCAGTTATGATTTAACAACGTTAGTCAGAACATATATATATAATCGTTAAACGGAATCTTTGTTCATATAATATATCATATTGTTGTAAATAACCCCTCTCAAACTATTTCTCTCAGAATCATTTTCTCTCTTCGCGATATTTCTCTCGATTTTCTTTTCGTTTCTTCGTATCTGCGAGTTTTATGAAAACTTTCAAAATATTATATTATATGCTTTATAAGTTATTCATAAGCTGTGACGAACAAAAACCCCCATATGATAAATAAATGGAATTAGAGTAGGGAAAAGACTACAAAAAAAAGTGGGGTGGAGATAACGATGTGATCATTCATTGTGTCGATTGATATCTGTGACAAAATTCTCATGATAGTCAATGTGCGTGTCCCCAATGAAGAAAAAATCTAATGTGTGTGATAATGACGACTTGTACACAGAAATTGCGTATTATCGATTAGTATGTTATATATTGGTTTTAGTAATTGCTTCGGTGAACAATCTCACATTCTCAAGAGATAATCCAAATCTATAACCCATGTCATCTATGTATCGAACGTTGGTGACTTCCTAACATTATCGTTATCTTCAGATGCAGGAGTAAAGGTTTGAGGAAACCGATCATGTGGATGTTTATCGTATTACGTGATCTACTGATATAATCAGGAATTTATCCGATATGTTACACAACGCCAGTGTTACACGGCCAAAAATATTTCCTTTTTCACTGAAATTTCACCCCCCAAAGTTGTCCCTAAATTCCACCGTGTAACATGTCGGATAATATCCCGATTATGATGCTAATAATTTCACCCTTGCAACTTCGCTTCACATTTACAACAATCGTCAACCTCGCTTCATTGTTTCCTACTTTTCAGATATCCATTTTCGGTGCAATTGAGCAGTTAGACCTTGTTCTTTGGGGATTACCATTTGTAAGTTGTACATTATCATTAACGAGGTACGTTTGATAAAGTAATTTAAGAGCATCCTGGTGGATAAAAATAACTCTTTGAGTTAACGAATTGCGGCATAATATTTGTAGATACTAGACTTTGCTTCCCTTAATACAACACATCCCGAACTGCGGCAAGATACTAGGACTTTTGCTAAATTTTGCATACATTCTCTTCCCTTAATACAACACATCGACGGGATTATTTGTAATTGCGCATTATAAAGAAACGACGTTCATAACCAGCCCACACAAATTTCAGCAACAAACACTCTGGAATGAGTTTTACTTGTCGACATTCGGGAACTTCGATGATGTAGACTATTTTGGTATCTCTTCCATGACACGACGTTGAATGCGGATAGAGAAAGCAAATAGAACAATGGAATGAATAACACTTGTCACGTCAGGTTTGCCTACTCCCTGCCGTAAGCCGAATAGCACGACTCCTCACAACATCAACCACTCTGCGTTAGTCTCATTCTCTCATTGCTCGTTCGATGTCATTGCGGAAGATTGCATGTTCCGACAGAGTTTCAGCGTAGATATATCCGATAAGGGTCGCGAAACGAAGACATCACGATGTATCATACAATGATGTACAATGGTGGGGTCGTTAGATCAAATTTACAACAATTTCTGTTCCGTTGTAACAGGAACTTCATACCGTTATAACAACGAACTCCAAATCGATCGACAAGGCAAGAAAATGAAAGGGAATTAATTACATGACTGAATATAAAAGTCTATGGATTTATACAAGCAACACCTTTGCTGGATCGCGTGATGCAACGAACAGTCCGCGAGATGAAGTTGGATGGTACTTGCGTGTTACTCGGTCCGTTATCATAAAATCTATTTTACAGATACAGTCGTACCTCTACAGTCACACGGTCGGATCCGGTGGACTATAAAGTGGGTGTGTTCTTTCATCATATGCGTAACTGATCGGTTCCGTAAAAACATGTGAAGGTATTGCAAGAGAGGGTTGTAGAGAGTACTGAAGAACAAGAATCTATATTACATGATTGCAATCCAAGAATTCGTGGGTTGAGAAAGAGTCAGTCGACAAAAAAAATAAAAATTTTTAATATCTGCTTATTAACCAGAAAAGCCAAAATCCTACAACATGCGGTCACCAATACGCAAATGGGATATGGCAGAGACAACTGGCTTATGAATATTAGGCAGCTTGTATCAACTAGGTATTACGATGAAAAATGAAGAAAATGGGATAATTGAAATTTTAAATAAATGCGAATAGTGAGATCACTAACGTTGTTGTTGATACTTTACTTACGGGTGTATAATATGTTATCCTGATGCCTAATTCCATTGGAATATATTTCTCATTGATAGCGCCCAAGAGGTCAGAGTCTTTTAGTGGTTTTATAACACAAAATAGATTTTATAGAGTGAAATTCATTATTTACATCCTTAACTCGAGTAGAGGCAAGACTGTATGCAATAATAATATATTAAAAACATCGAAGGGTAGGAATTTTTGCTAAGATATTCGATACTTGATCAGATCTATTTATCTTAAAGTGGCTCAATTTGTTCATAATCTCGGCAGTTTTCTTCCTCGTTAAATGATTGTAGTAATGGTGAGGTTATACTATTTAAATCGCAAGAGTCTTTTTATATAACAATAATCTCGTTTTCGGGTAATTATACTTATTACAGAGAACGCTTCCAATCCGCTATAAGGATGCTCCGTTGCCATGACGAAGCATCAAATAGACGCGGTTCTAATTTCCTGATAAGATTTCTTATCAATTCTCGTGGATAAATTTTCCCTCTGTGGAATTTATTGCCAAAATTAGGCGTTCACGACTATTGGTGCCTCGCCTATGGAATAACTAAGAAAGACTCGAATTGTGATTCAAGAAAAAATAGCAAACAAACTTGGAAGTAAAATGCGCAGAAAAGTGCACTACGTTATATACAGTATAACGCGTCGTTTGCACATTACACGAATACGCGCGGTTCCATATTGACAACTTGATTGTCAACCACAATCACGACTTTACATTGCTTGACATATTTATTCAATTTTTGTGTGACACGTGATATAAGAATTCCAATTGTGTAACGAATGGTATAGGTGGCTTGTATCATAAACTATGTCCATGTCGTCCGAGATATGTTTGCTGCTTAATGGTAAACTTATATCAGCTTATCGGGAACGGACTTCAAACCATGTGTTACATTTGAATAGGCAGAAAATGCAAGTAAGCAAAACCTCTTCCTTGAAACACTCTCGAACGAAGCAAGGACAATATGTTGACTATGGTAAAGCCTGCAATTTTATACAAGCGTCTCACTCTAAACTGCCGGGATTGTTTTCTTGACAGGCTGAATTTGCAACTCAATGTGACAAACGACAGGAAAGGCGTTAATGTCAACGCTTTCAAACACGAATACTGGCACTAAGATACTACATAGATTGAAACAAGTTCATACGCGTCGTTAACACAAGAGCAGATATTTTATCGTCATGCTACAACACGCTTAAAGCTGTACTGGAAACTGTATAAAGTTTAAAAATAATGTATTATATTTAAGAAGAAGGTATAAATCGTCATATCTTGATGATCGATGTCTGTGGCTTTTATACAACAGTAAGGCTTGCCTTGTAATTATCATTCTTTTTCACATTCCAGTCTATTGACAGTTTGCTGTCATTACGATGACATAGAGGTTGATTTGAGTCCGGTACCTCAGGACGATGCAATCACCATAATTACCGTCTTGTCTGATTGCTCTTTCAAACTTCCATTACGATATTATGTTTGGCTGACTCGATTTGTTACGTTAGTTTGATATAACCTGGCCAATGTGACTTACTTTATTTTATCATTCAACCAGGAAAAGCAGAATGCTTCTAAATACTCTACAAGATAACTGCTGATATGTTAAGATTCTACAGAGATGTCTCGCCAGAACTCGAAGGTCTTGAGCAAGTAGTGTTAAATATAAAATGCTCGAAAATGATTGACTTTTTATATCTATTAGCACCTACGGTAGCATGAAAATGAAACCATCAGCACATCCTTGTGCAGGCAGAACCAGATTGTGGAAGGAAGTCTATCGTACTGATGTCGAGCCAGCACATCCGATTAGATTTAGACTTCCATGTGCACCATTTCTTCGATGATGGTTATACTTGCTTGCCTCTTCCTTCCGTATTGTCCGTGTTTGTGCTCTCGTTGACAGCCGTGCATGCAAATGACCAAGTTTTATTTCTGTTAATCGTTTTTGCTCTTCCAGAAGTGCAAGTGTATCCTTCTTTATTAATAAATCATTCTCTGCATCGTTAATTACCACTTTGTCAAGATTAAAGTGTTCTTTCAATTTATTTATCTCTTTGGTTTGTTCTTTTATCAATTTATGAAGAAGTTTATTTTCATGTTCTAATGTATCTATCTAGATAATATTATGCAAAAATATATCAGTACTATTGGAGTGGTATGTAGCAAACATACACCAAAAAAAGTTTTATACATGATACATTGTGCTTGAGTAACACTTACATCCATCAAACTGTCATCTAATACCTCTTCCTCTTCATTCAACATTGTATCAACATGGATATGGTTTATATGCTCCTCAAGTTCCTCCTTATTAGTGAAAAACGCATAACACCCGAGCCAAAAGCAAATAAATTGCTTCTTTACTGCATCAAAGCCAATATGCTCCGAGTGTATATGTTGATCAAGTTCATTTATTGAGATAAAGTCCATAGTACAATTAGACCAATTACAAAGGCATCTGCCATCTGCTGGTGGGGTTAAAAAACTAGATAAAGATTGTGTATCTGATGACTGGCTCATATTCCACCCTTCTCCAACAGTGACTTATTTAGGTACTAAGACAAAGAGTGACTTTGAGTGAATAATAAGAGGAATGTTTTAGGAAAAATTGGGTAAGGAAAGATTCAAAGATAGGAGATAGATAGGGAGATGGTTGGGTTGGTTGTTGTCATACAAAACATGTACTAGGCAAGGATGTACAAGGTTGTGACATATTGTTATTGCACAATACAGTATTTGATCATCCAATAGATAACCAACAAATGTATTACACTATGGTCAAGTGATAATTGCCGAACGTGTATTTAATTATATTTGGGACGACTATTCTATTTTACTGCTGGGATTATTTTATATTTTGCTAAAAAAAAAAGCACAAAAAAGTACTAATAATATTATCCATTAAAGTCACAACTATCAAGCAAATGAACTTCTTATTGGGAAATATAAGTATGTTTAAACTATCAGAGGATGAATATCAATATTGCCAATTACAGTATATAGCATTTATCCATTCAAAAGTCTCCCCACAGTCTGCTGAATGGCCTGCTTGATCGTAATTGAAGAATTACTTGCCAAGTTTATGCAAATTGCCTTTGAACTATTGCACAATAAATGGTGTATATTAATATGTTAGTGTAGACAATGCATTATATGAGCTTGTACTTGTCAACGTTATAGTAATAGGGTGCATTCTTGTAACAGCACAAGTTGTTATTATGTTAAGCAACTTTTTCTCGCCGTTTTTTACAACTTGTATTCATTTTGCCCACATAGAAATGTTTGTAATAAAAGAAACAGGCCCAATACTTGGTTGCCATCAAAGATAGTCAATGCTTCTGCTCAAATATTAATCTTTATATGTTAACAAACACAGTTACTTTTTATTCAATGACAAAGAATGCTAGCTAGTCTTCTCATACATACTTGGTTACGTAAACTTGAAATTTCCGTTCTCACGTTGACCACTTATAGGTTCGATCCTACCCCTATTTGTTAGCTCCTAACAAATTCACCTTCCCACGTCTCCACTTGCTAACCTTTCATAATATATTTTAGGCGTATCACACATTTCATTATGCAAGTCAATGCAATTCATAAATTTCTGATTATCTATAGAAGAAAGCCAATAATATACAAACCCTTTGTTTTTATGGCCGCTGCTGATGCTGACTTTTTTTTTTTCTCATTTACGCTGCGAGAGTATTGCCAAGTCTATGAAAACGTTCTCTCATCTTCTGCAGAAGACAGTTAATCCTATGTGCAATTTGCTGAGACACAATACTTCAAGAGTCTCATAAATTAAAATTACTTCTACGGTCTTAGAAACTTTGGAACGAAGACACGGTGACTTGCACTCGGCGAAAGAGAAAAAGAGTGCCTCCTACTTGGGAGGTCGAGATGTGTAATAAGCAGCCCGTTTCAGCATCGCCAAAAATAGCAACCCTGCAGGTTCGTCTTTAGTCCCTTCTACTTTGACGATCTTATGACATGAAGAGAACAACGGATGAATATATTTCCATTAAATTGTGTAACATTTCATTTCTTGCATGATTAAACGTGCAACCATATAATAATAAACAGGCTTCGACTAGTAAAAGAAGTTGGACTTGTTAACAGACATTTGGCAATCAATAATCTTATGAAATCAACGTTGTTATCAGAAAGGATTGGTTTCTGGTTTGTATTCGATGTAAACGAGATATTCGTACTTTGGACCAAATATGATATATTGGAAGATACCAGTGGTTGACATCGATATCATGAGGCTTAAATAATCGATTAACTTTACAGCTCACCTATTATGTTATTAGAAAGAGCTTCTCTTTTTATAAACTAAGAATTGCAGATATACTGTATTAAAGCAGAGATCTTTCCTCCATTACCACGCTTTTTAGACAGTACGCGATAAATGCATCTATAAATAACTTAACGAATCTATTCACCGTTCAGAGTAATCAATACATTGATATTTCTCAATTGCTGCCTTGACCAAAGTTAGACGTGGAAATAATGATATATGCATAACTTGGTTTGTTTTGAACCATTGTGGATCCAATCAGGAAGGTATTACGAAAATTACTGCAAGTCTTGTCATTGTAATCCATGTGACAACACGGAAAGAAACGAGAATCCATTCAGTTCCGCATAATTGTCGATGAGTTAGTGTCAATGGTCGTTCTCAATTTAGAATGATCTCAATATTAAAATTTGTGTATGAATCCTCGGCTACAAATCTATAAAGTATCTATACAAGGAAACTCGGAGGGATATCATGTAATAAAGCAAGCAATAACCCGTTTGTTATGTATGGACGACGCATCAGCAAAAAAAACCACCATTACGATCAGCTGATTTTGTGCTATCAGCCGATCAACTGATTAATCATGATAATGGAGCGATGCTTATTTTGAGAACACGCAACTTTCCATGGTTGTTTTTTGACTTTCTTGACTTCTGCGGCTTTCTGCGCCACAACAGATATACGGTATGCTTAAACAGTGGCATAAGCAAGTTGCATTCGTTCGACTTGGTTACAACAAGCGTACATTAATAACCTATTCAATCTATTTGTTGGTTATGTTGATTTGTACAGGTTAATAATGATGATTCTGTTTCATAAGTTTAGTAATGGGCGCCGTAAGTTGGCACATTACATACCGGCATTTCGATCTCTTATCAGTCCAGATATTGAACATAGATTATTGGCTTTGGCGATGAAACAGACCTTATGAGGCTCACCGAGCTTTGAAATAGGAGGCATTGTTATTGAAAGTGACGTAAGGATAGATCTTGATGAGATAGAATTACTATCATTGGAATATAAATTCTTACCAAGCGTTATTCTAAGGTAGGCCACGACAGATTTGACGAAAATAAGAACGTAAACGCGGTTGGTTGATTACGCACACCTGAGCTGGTGGATGGTCTTCAGAATGCTTCAGGAAAGGAAATGAAAATTTGCGTTTATGCGAAGTGATTAAGAATATGTTAAACTTGTACGAAATACTGTTATTGGGCGTCCGGTCAACCATCTTCACCATGAACATCTGAAATGGCCAAATCACGGAATTAGCGAATACCATAGATGGTCATCGGGATAGAATAACTGTATAAACAAAAACTTTAAACACTGGACATTTTTGGTGGAGCAACCCTTCAGAGCCCTATCAAATTTTATAATATAACAAACAATATATAAGGCGTAATTCATGTATGTACTAGTCATTAAATGATCGTGCGACTTTTCCACTTAATTTTAATCTACTGTTGAGAAGATAGTTGAAAGAGACGTCATGAAGAGATTGAATGCTATAAGGATTAGTTCTTCACACTCCTGAAGTATTAAACACAACAGGATACAGACATGGCCAACTGAGCAATACGATTGACGATAAAGCTCTAATATAATAAGGATATGATCGTTGTGCTAGCCGGATGCTACATATAATAACTTATATCTTCTTATATTGATACAACGACCTTCCACTAAATAATAAAATAACACACGAAATAAGAGGGTTCGAAATTTTATTATATATTCATACTTTAACTTCCTGTTTACGTTGCAATTCAGTTAGAACAGCTAAGGTTTCAACCTTTTGGGCTTTTTTAATAATTTCGCCAATGTCTTTTAAATGATAGCAATTTTCGCGAGACGCTCTTTCATAACTTGGCGAAAAGTTAGATCAAAGTGGATTGCTTAGTTGCCTATATACAGTGTGTAACGCAAAAAATAGCTCTTCGAACGCGTATATGTTGATGTAATATAAATTATTTTGTTTCAGGTGATTTTTTTTATGGTTTGATGTAAACACTTATGGTTGTTTGTAAAACTGTCAAAAAGTTTCAACCTTTGTTTTACTCAACTTTATCTTTTCTGTATCTCAATCAAGTTTGAATACACAGGGCGGCTTGCCCTAAATCCTATAGAAAAGTTATGGCATTTGACCAAAAAAGTTAGTGCGGTTTATAGTCGAAGAATGAAATTCTATTTCTGATAAAATGCTAATGGTAAGCTAATGATGGAAAATATGGCACTGCTCATAAGCTATTGAATAAAGTATATAATAAAGCTCATTCAATAACACAAGCTGTCTTGTGCGATGAATCGCATGATTAACATAACTAACACCTTACCAACAACTTCCGCTTTAATTTCTTAAAGACATTAAATTCAAGACTCACGTACATAAAATCACGCTAGAAAAAAGTATCGGGCATATGATTTAGGGTTGCAAACAAGGCATAGCTTACGTACATAATATTGAATGCCTGAATCTAGTGGTAGTTTTCGAGTTTCATGACCATAATTGTTAACATAATAATAATTGATGATTGGGAGGCTAGTAAATGCATTTGCGCAACACGATACATCCATGATGCCAGATAGGGTTTTTAACTTCATGGTGCCTTTCCTTGTTGCTAACACAAGTTTCGTCTATTGGTTTGTCACATTTCCGGCAAAATGACATTAACGTAAATTATATTTGACCAGCTCGAATTGCGCTGAAACTGGGCACACAATTATTGGTATGTCCAGTAATTACAGCAATCTTTTGCTGTAATTTTGTTCCTCGATAGTGGAAAATCTTGAGGTTCTATTACCAAGTATATCTGAGACGGTCCATTGATTGATGGGCCGATCTGGTGCGAGGTATTACAAGCGGCTTCGATATAAGAAAGTAATCGGGCCCTTTTTTTATATCGAGATTTTCTTATAACGAGAGTTATTTGTTATATCGAGTTCAACAAGAAATTTTCTTATAGGTCATATTTCTTATATTATCAAAATGGCTCTTATATCGAGAGCCACTTGTACTTGTCTTTAATACTTATAATTTCTTGTAAACACATCTTATTATTGCCAAAACCATGAGAGTGGCCAATTAAAAATTTGTAATAATATTATGATTTACTTGTTTTATGTT